AGCTAATTGTTGTCCTTAATGTTACTAAATTATAGGCAAGCAATCAAGTTCTTCTAACCCTTTGGACACTAATTAATATCACACCACAACAATCATGAACAATGAAATAGTGTCCTAATACCCTATGGAATGATTATAGTAAATCATTAAATTCATAGGCTACATGTTAACCTATGAACTTCAATGATTAACTATAAAAGACTAGAAGTATCAATATGAATTGAAAGGATTTGAGGCATAGAGAACATCCTCAAGCCCAATTCATTTAAATTTGATACAAAAATCATGTATAGTATAACAATTATATATATTTAAACCCATAACATTGAAAGAAAATTTGGCTCTAACTATACATGATCATAATCTAGAATAATATTCAGTGGAATGTGACTTCTCACTGAATCCATAGAGCCCTAACATGCATGAATTGGATTTAGATTGAATTATTTATGCATTTCCAAAAATCCAAATCAAATCAAACCTTGACCTAGGTTTTTGTAAATTCATAAACTAAGTGATATTGCATCAAAATGGCTTAAGAAAATTATGTGACATCAATCCCAGACCCTAAAACCTCTCTGCCAAGTTTCAGCCAAAAATAATTTGTATATTTTTATTAAAAAAATAAAATTAGATTTTCTGTATTATTTAAATTACTAATCAAAGTAATTTTTACTTATTTTTAAAATATAGTTCTTAATAATATGAACAAAACAAGCTCAAGAACTCCAAAATTGGATCAGAAATGAAATTATGTTGCAATTATGAAGTTCTGGACATTTTCTGAATTAAAATAGAGTTTTAATTAGCCGGGTCAAACGGCGGCGCTGACCCGGGACATGCGGCGGCAGCTGGGATATCCACGCAGACGACGGCGGTCAAACGGGGCCCGCCACTTATCCAGCGCGGCAGGATCTTAGGTCGTTGGATCTACCGCGATTCTGATCTAACCGTCGAGATCAGGCCCGCGGGATTAAGTTCGATCCAAAACGATCGGACGATCTGGCGAGATCCCGCGGTTTGAACGGATGGCCAGGATTTAGCCCGCTGACGATCTGGCTAAATCGTGGTCGAGATGAGGCTTAAACCTGGTTTAATCACAGCCGTTGATCTAAACAGGACAGATCCAACGGCTGCGGACCTATCTTCTTCCTCCGCCAAAACTGCGAACCCTAGGATCATTTTTTCATTTCGTTCTCAGGAATTACTGGATGAAAAATGTTGAAATTTTAAACATAGGTGAACTAGGATCTATGGAGGAATGGGGAATAGTTTTCTAAGCCATTGATGCAATATATAGGATGTTATTTAAAAACTAGATAAACACCTAGGGTTTAGGATATACCGAGATATAATGAATGGATTTGGTTGATTTAAACACGGTTGAACTTGTAGATTGTCCACGTGTTGATCTCCTTCGGACTTCAAGCTCGGAGGATCACTGGAAACGGAGTTGAGGGAGCTTGGATGGAGGTGGCTTCAGATCACCGTCGATCTTCTCTCTGGCGAGCTTCTGTCAGCAAGGAACGATGGAGAAATGAAAGTAGAGCTCAGGGATTTCAAAACGAAATACTAGAGAGCTCTGGGGAGTGACTGGAATGCCAGATAGCTTGGAATGAGCTCTCCCGCCTCCTACCCTATTCCAGCTGCTGGAGCCAAAAGAGACAGTCAGGATCGCTCAGGGACGTGCCTTGGATGCTGGACACCTGTCTAAGGTGGTTAGGAGGCAGAGGATGTGCTGTACGGGGCAGGATGAGCTGGCCACTCCCTTGGCTTGTCCTCACATGCGAGGGGACCATCCGAGCTGGCTGGGCTTGAAACAAGCCCTGGGCTGGGTAGGGTTAATCCCCAAGAAGCTTCTGGAGTCGGTTTTATGAGCTGGACAGGCTTGGTTCGGGCTGGAGAGTTGAGCTGGCCGGATTTGACCAAGTAAGCTCATTTGAGCTCCCATTGACTATTTGACTGGTCAATGGGGGTCAAGGCTTATTGAGTTGGCATCAAAGTAGGCTGTGGAGTCCCTTCCAATGGCTGGATGGGCCTGGTTTGGACTGGATAAGGCTTGATGGGTCAGTTTGAGGAGTTTGAGCATTTGAATACTTAGTTTGACTGTTTGACCGGTCAACTTGACTTGTTGACTGGTTAGGTGGCAGTGAAGGAGTCTAGTGAGCTGTTTGAAGGGTTTGGAGGAGATTAAGATGGAGTGGATTAATTCAAGCTCATAGGTTTGGCCATTTAAAGGTTTGTTGACCAACTGTTGATTGGTCAACTGATCATGTTGACTCCTGAGGTGGCAGCCAAATGGCCTCAAGAGCTAGTTAGATTGATTTAGAACAAAGGCCAAGTGAAGGGATTGGGACTTGAGTTTGGTATGGAAATTTAGAGTGGATTTGACCAAATTTGTTAAGTTGACTTGGTCAACTTGATTTAGATTTGACTGATGATGGTTTAAGGCACATTAACACCATGGATTAGAAAGTATTCAAGGCCTTGATATGGGTTAGATAGGCTAAATGGGTGAAAATGATCCATTAAGAACCTTAAGGGAGTATGGGTCAACCTAGGTTGACTGGGTCAACCTAGTTGACCTAGGGTCTAGGATCAGGCTGGACAAAATTTGAAATTACATTTGAAGGCCAATAGAAGTGGTTCCATGGCTTAGAGATGTCATTTCATTCAAATTACATGTTTGGATCCTTAAAGGGCTTCTTAAGTCAACTAGGTTGACTTGGTCAATCAATGTTGACTCAGAGTCTGGGAATGGGTCCAACAGGTTTGGTTTGATGTTTGAAATCTGCTGGAGGTGGTTGCATTCAGTTTGGAGGTCATTTGGTTCAAAGTGACTATTGACACTCCTTAAGGGCATTTTAGTCATTTTGGCCTCAGGTCCACTGGGGGTTGAAATGAATCCAGAAAAATGCAGTTTGTTGATCAACATGTCAGGATTAATGGTCTGGAAGTGATTGGAGGCTTTGGAGGAAGCTCCAAGGTCAGGATCTTCTAGGTGGCAAGTCCAGTGGCGTAGGCTGTAAATATCTGAAGGTTTTACAGCCTTTGGATTTTGATTTAGATTATGGGGTTAGAAACCTCAGAATGGACTCAAATTTGGAGGGTTGCCTCTAGAGACATGTCCCATCAATATGAAATTGACAGACCCTGAATCAAAGATCATTTGACAGGGTTTTAAAGTGTTTGAAAATTCACTGGAAAAAGCCTTTAGGACAAGACCTTTGAACTTAGGATTTGAGTCTGGGTTTGATTGAGGTATAGATGGCTTGAGATATGAATAGACTTGAGTTTGAGTTGATTTTAGGATCCCATTAGAGACCTCATACAAAAATGAGGCCAACATGCAGGTATATGAGTTATCATAAAATAATCAATTTAATCTAACATTGCATACATGAATGGTTTCAACAATAAATCTCAATGCTAACAATAAGATTAGTCACTCTAATGAAATCCTCTCACTCAACTCATTAAACTTTAGGACTAAGCGGAGAACAATTAACAAGATTTCTTAGGAATCAATTAAACCACAAAATAGATTGACTAAGGAAATAAAGGATTAGGTAAAGAGTTCGCCAATTTCAAGCAGTAACCAATGGTGGATGACCTCAAATCAGCCACCTCTTTAATCTACGAGATCTGGACAGCCGTATGGAATAAGTATGGAATTATGGACAGAGGTTGGGGCCTCCCGGGTGAGGGTGTGGTGCAAGGAAGCCTGTCGAATTGCTGGACAGCAGCTACGACGTCATCCCAGACAATTATGCTTGCTGATTTTGATATTAGTGGACAACAATGGTGATCTCTCCAATTCACTGGACAGCAGTTGTAATGGCAGAAAAACCTGTAACAGCCCTTGGAGGGCTTCGGGACAGCTATCGGGGTGACTTTAGGTCGCAGAACAGTGAGGAAACTTGGTTGGTTCTTCTTGGCAGCAAGCTGTGAAGAAGCAGACTAGCAAATTGGACATCTAGGACAGCTGGAACGTGAAACTCTTGTGCAGGAATTTAGTGGCTGCAAGAGGAGTTTGGGAATTTTCCACTGAATGGACTAGATAGGGGTGGCACTTTTGATGGGAATTAATAGGGTGAGCAATAGGGAAGGTGGCGGGTAAGAGAGAATATTTTAGCCAAATTTGAAATTAGTTTCAGATCTTAAGTGGATTTGGCAGTATTTAATTTGAATTTTGAATTCAAATTAAATTGGGATAGAGCCTTAATTGGAAGCAATAGGAAATTGCCCATTAATGGGGAGGCTGGCGGTATCAAGAGAGGAGGAGGGGTGTGGGGAGGATTTTAAGAAGTTTCCAACAAGGTTTGCTAAATAGGAAAGAGAATAAACGACCATCTCTAATTTAAAATTAGATCAAATTGAAATTTAAGAATTTATGCCAGTGAGGCGAGGCGGGCCTCAACCAAGTTGAGGCGCAAGCCTCATAAAAAAAACTCGAGGCGTAAGTATCGAGGCGTTTTTTACTAGAATTGCGCAAAGGCGGGCCTCTAGGCGAGCCTCAAGGCGAGCCTCATATTGCGCAATTTTAAACCCACACAAGAAGAAGAAGAAGAAACACAGGAAAATTTTCATTAATCAATCCTCATCCCAAATTACAAGAGAGCTTGCCTATAAATAGGCCTCATGACAAGAAAAGAAACAAAGACTAAATGTCCTTCGGGCTACAACATCACATAACCACCTCTATGGGTAAAATGAGAAAAAACAGGAATATAAAATAAATTAGTACATAAGACACATCAAAAATAAAATAAACTCCAGATCGTAGCCGTTGATCTTCCGATGGTCTCATCACCAAAACCTTTTTTTTTCTATCTCCTTTCTCATTTATTCCTGTTTACTATTGTTCATGATAGGTGGATGATATGACTGCTGATTTGATTTCTTGTTAGCTGAATTTTGAGGAGAGATCAAATCTTTTTTTTTTGTTTCTTTTTCTATCTCCTTTCTCATTTATTACTCTTTATTATTGTTCATGATAGGTGGATGATATAACTGCTGATTTGATTGTCAGCCAACTATTATTTTTAGATGCAGAGGATCAAACGAAGGATATCAAACTATTTATAAATTCGCCTGGTGGTTCTGTCACATCTGGTATATCCCATGTTCTTAAATTATTATTATTATTATTTTTTTAAATGTTAAAACTGGCCAACTTTTGATTTTCATCGGTTATTGTGGTTTACTTATTGCATTAACTTGCCTAGGCCATTAAAAATAATTTGCTGAATTGAAAGATTGCAGAATTATGAGTTTTTTTATGCATTGTTAGTTCCATTTTGATAATGCAACCCATTCTAACCTTTGGCGCTTACTTTTAGCAAATATATATAGTAACATCAACTATGATTTCTTATAGAATAAAAATATTAATTTTTTATTTTATAATAACATTGAGTTCCTTAATCTTGACAAACTTTGTTGAGTTGTGAATTCTATGTGATGTAGGCCATTTTAGCATTTAGAATCTCTTATGTAGTTTTAATATGAGATGCAAATTAAAAAAAAAAAATCATGCAATATGCACATAAAATTTGCGTGTTACATGCTTGATCTTTTACAATTATTCATTACATTCAATGTAAATTGAAATCATGATGGAAATCAACTCAGCTTGAGGGGGATTCACATCCAAGCTAAGTAACAAGGTTAGTAGTTAAAAGGTGTGAGATTGGTAGTAATAGAGGAAAGCGTTATTAGCCAATTAACCATGTATATGTTTTAATGCATGTTTTTATCCTCATAATTGATGATATTCTCTGCTTTTTCTTGCCTTAATCAGCCACCATATTTGCCTATATAGAATATACTAAAATTTTCCCCTCTTCAACAAAATACAATTCAAAAGAATGTGCCAATATCAGAACTTGTGAAATTCCTTGGTTGAATTTATAATTTCAACAAAACAGAAATCGGTAACAAGTAAACGAAGAAGAATAACACTCAAGAACAATTTTTATTGGATTATTTATATAAGAAAAGACAAGATACAATTGGATCTTCAATTGACGAGGAAGATCCGGCTCTCCCAAATCCCTAGACGCTGGCTAGAGCCGAAATAACTAATGAATAAACTAAATTTAGCAAACTCCAAAACATCATCCTGAAATCACCCTATTGTTAGCCTTAAATAGGCTCCCATAATTCCCTCCCAAATTAGTTCTCTTTATCTAAATAATTCCCTTTAGATTTGAATTCAAATTAGATTTATTTCTCTAATTAATTCCCTCCCAATTGTAATTAAAATTTTCCTAAACAATCCCATTTTAATTCCTCATCGTTTTTCCTAAATAAATCTCTCTTAGATTTTGAATTCAAATTAAATCTCTTGTTTAAATAATTCCCTCATAATTATAATTTAAACTAACTTTCCTAAATAGTTCTCTCTTGATTAGGAAACTTCATGATTCTCTCCCAATCAAATCACCCAGTCCATCAATATTTCTCTCCCAAAGTGTCATCTTGTCCTCAAAGTGGAACAAAGGAAACTACTGCTGTAGCATTTTATTAGTAGCACTGGACTAAAAATAGACTGATAATGGGTCGAATGATCCCTTACCCCAGCATCTCCCTAATAAATATCTCGATCTCATCCTTCTTGTTTAGGGTCGAATGATATAGAGGAATACTTATAGGTGAGACTTCTTCCTTCAAGATGATCACATGCTCGCATTCCTATGAAGGAGGCAACCCCTGAACTAGCTGGAACACCTCTCGATACTGCTGTAGGAGTGGCTGGACTATGTCTGATGCTTCTATCTTCTTCCCATCTTCTTCTCCTTCCCAATTTTTCATCTCCACCAAAAATCCCACTTCTTCACCATTTTCCCTCCTTGGAAGTGGCTCCAAAGATGGCATTTCTTCTTCTTCCCCCAAAACTTCTTGATGAGAACATCGCTCAGAGATTATGACATGTGTACCAGCGACGGAATCGTAGATTGAAGGCTACGATTCAGAGTTTGCTTTTGATGTAATTTATGTTTTATTTATTTTGCATTTCAGTTTTCCTAGTTTATCCCTATGGGGGAATGTTTTCTTATTGTAGCCCTGAGGGCATTTGAGTACTTTTCTTTTCTTTGTAGTTAAGACCTATATATAGCGTTCTTATGCTTTGTAAAAGGGCAATGAATGATTGAATGAAATTTTGATTTTGTCTTCTTCTTATTCTTCTTGTGTGTGCACTAGAGAGAAGAGAGAGCCCGAGGTGAGGGCGAGTGTAATACCCATCAGTCATTGGAAGAGTCCGTGGCTCATGGTCTATTTTCTTTTGTTTTCCCTTGTTCTTTCTTCCAACCGACCGATCCCCCCACATATCCCCCAACCACTAGCCGTAAGCTTACCCGGCCCCAACCACCGACCACCCCTCCCCCATCACTCAATCCCTTTGATCCCTAGTTTCCCTCCCCACCCCCACCCGACGCCAAACCCATCTTCCCCCTTGCCGCTGGCCCACATCCATGCTCCCTACCGTAAAGATGATTTCAATAATCTTAATGGTTTCTTAAATTAGCTCAAGCAAGCAAGGAAAGATTAGGATTTATTTGAAATTCAAATTTGAATTTCAAATACTTTCCATATTTACAAATTCTAAATCAGGAAAGTGTTTAATTATAAATCCAATTTAAAATTACATTAGATTGGATTTATTATTAGCCTTCCTAATTTAAAAGACTTGTTTGGAAACTTTTAAAACCCTCCCCAATTCCCTCCTTCCTCTCTTCAAGCCGCCGACTCCATCATTGGGCTCTCCATTGATTTTCCCTTTAAGCCTTAGCCTTATTTGAATTTTGAAATTAATTTCCAAATTCAATTCATTCCAAAATTACTTAAATATGAAATTAATTTCAGATTTATTAATACCTCTTATCTTAACCCTAAACCTAAATCCCACATAACCCAAGTCGTCCCTTTCTCTCTCCTTGGCCGCCCCCTCCACTTGCCTCATCTCTCTTGGAAACCCTAAACCTCTCATGACTTTTGAAGCCAAGAAAAGGAGACAAGCTCCTTCTTACCTTCTACCATTGGTGTATGGCCGACCCTGAGGTCGACCACGGATTTGCCTATAACGCTCAAGGAAAGATCGACATCTTACTTTCTCCTTTCTATGATCCGGATTGGGACTACGAAGATTCAGTGGAAAGCTACGTCAACTGCATACTCTATTGCCTCGCCGAGAGGCCCGAGATGATAGAAGGGCAACAACTCATGGGACCTTAGCAAATCGTCGGCCGACCAACAACCTCTCCTCCTCGGCTACTTCTCCGGCGAATAAGACCCTACGCATCACTTGTCTTGTGGTGGTATCATTAGGGTTGCTTCTACCCTTTCTCCGCTAAGCCCAATTTCAAGATCGAGAGTGAAGGAACTCATGGTGAACACTTCTTGATGTTATACCGTGGATTTTTGTTTCATTGCTATTAGTTTTATTATATTGTTTTTTATGTTATTTGCATTCATCTAGTTATTCTCCGTGTAATCGCTTGCTATTACTTAATCTCCTAACGGAGACTTCTAAGGATTCGACTTGGTGAAACATAAGTTTTTAATTAGCAAAGTTAACTTTCAAATTATTGTTAATTTCCAAAAGCAATTCTTGTTCACTTGTATGTTTCACATCACTTCTACCTCCCGATCCTCCCTCACTGTCCCTATATTAGGGTTTCCCTCACTTCCCAGTTCAATCAACTATGCTCTCGCCTCTGATGTTGTTGGTTGGGTGTGAAGTTCTAATAGTTTCCTTATCATTCCTTCTTGGTTGAAAAAATTTTCCTCCATTAATGTCATTCTGTCCTCAAACGCCGATTTGAGTTGACCAACTTTTTCTTTAAGACGCTCTTCCAATGCATCAACTTTCGTTGCCTTCATAGGTCCCAAAAAAGAGCTCTGATACCCATTTAATAGGAAATGGATACAATTTCCTTGAAATCAATGAACGGAAATAAGAAATTAAGAACACACCAAAACATTTTTTTATTGCAAGCTATATAAAAGAAAACAACAAGATACAGTTGGATCTTCAATTGGAGAGGAAGATTCGGCTCTCCCAAATCCTTAGTCGGCGACTAGAGCCCTCACAACCTAAGAAATTCTAATTTCAGCAAAATCAAAACATCATCCTGAAATCACCCTATTGTTAGCATTAAATAGATTCCCATAATTCCTTCTCAAATCAGTCCTCTTTCCATAAAATAATTCCATCTCAAATTTGAATTCAAATTAGATTTATTTCCTAAATTAATTCCCTCCCGATTTTAATTAAATTTTTCCTAAACAATCCCCCTTAATTCCTCCTCATTTTCCCTAAATAATTTCCTTTAAAATTTTGAATTCAAATTAAATCTCTTGTTTAAATAATTTCCTCCCAATTACAATTTAAACATTCCTAAATAATTCTCCTTTGATTAATAACCTTCCTAAACAGTTCTCTTTTGATCAGAAAACTTCATGATTCCCTCCCAAACAAATCGCCAGGTCCATCAAAATCCTTCATAATTTTTTTTCCTTTTTCCTAATAAGGAGTAATATTTGTTAGCTTTAGCTTGGTACTTAGCTTGGAAACTTGAAGTGGGTCCAAAGCCTTGGTAAAAACTATTTTTTTGTTCTAAGTTGGGAATATGAGTTGTAATGATTTTCTTATATTATATTCTTTATCTAAAAAATGACGATTAACTTCAATTTGTTTTGTTCTTTCATGAAAGAAAATATTAGATATGTAGATAGCAACATAGTTATCAGAATGGAAGACCATACGTTGAGAAATTGGAAAACTAATTTCCTCTTAGGACAGTTTTGACCCAAAAATCATCTCACATTTAGACTGTGCCATGGCTCTTGATGTTATCTCAACACTTGATCTTGCCATTACTATTTGTTTCTTGCTCTTCAATGTTACTAAATTTCCTTATACAAGATACATTAGCTTGATGTGGATTTCTATCATCATTAGATCTAACATAATCAGGTTTAGAGAAAGCTTGCACGTTAACATGTCCATTTTTAATACATACAAGTTCTTTTTCTAGTTGTTTCTTGATGCGTGTGAACAATGGTCCTGTTTAGAAGTTTGCATTTATTGACTTACAACTCCAACAACA